AAGGAAATAAAAGGGGTTGAAAACGGGAAGGGAAGGGTACAAGCTGGCGTTGCCTTTAACGTTGACGAAGCCAATGCCTCTCCACCCACGCCATCTTTTCCCGCTCTCTTTTAGATACCGCGGCTGCCATTGCTTCGGAAGCTAATGCAGCGGAAGTGGAGTTTCAACTATATTACCCTTAATCGCATCGACGTTCGACTGTGCACGTCGCTGCGCGTAATTTCGGGCTGGATTCTCGGCTCGCGAGGCTGCTCTCGCGTCTCGCGCGACATCACGGGTCGTACCGTTGACCTTGTCGCCTTTCCGGAAACTGGCTGCGCGGATTTCCGTGTTGCCGCGCTGACATCGGAACGATCTCGAACGCCGAGCGACGGGCTTTCCTTGGAACGGGCCCACTTTAAACGGTGCAGCGCGTGCACGGTTGGTGATTAGGGATTTGCATGTTGACCTCGTGGTTTCTGCTGTGTCATTAATGACAAGTACGTTTACGAGCGGCTGAAACCGTAAAGTTTCTACTATTTATTCTTTCGGCGAAATTTGTCGGTGTTGGTGCTCCGCGTTTCGAATTTATTAATAGACTCGTCTTGTTTAGCTTTTTCATTTGCTGGTACGCTGTTGCTTGTTCCACTTTGTTGTGAGTCTCGTGGAGTAACGTAGATGGGACTGGAAAGATAGGGTGATGGTATTGATTTTAATTTGGTGATGTTAGTAACTATAAAATGGTAGTTACTGGATCTGCTAGAAAATAAACTATTTTGGGGAGTGGGTATATATTAGTTTCGTTTTTCCTCCTTTTAGGTTTTGTCAAGAAGTTGTAACAATTATGGAAGACAAAATAGATCACTAGGAATGTATGAAATTAAATATGATATAAAAGATATGCAATTCTGCTTAAAGAATATATTATCGAAAATATTAATATTTTTTGTTTGTACCCGTAAGATATGTAAAAGCTATGGTTTAAAAAATTAAAGAAAATAAATCTTATGAGAAACATGACGTTCAACTAAATTTTGTTCTCACTTTTATCTATTGATCCATGAAGCTGCTGGTTTAGATGACACAATTATGAGAGATTACGACATTTAAGAGTTTTGTAACGTAGATGAGCTAGAATTTTATATCAGAACAAGTCTTATAGTTAGGTAACTTTACCGTACCCAAATTTCATGAAAATTCCTCGATCACTACAGTAAGATTAGTTTCGAATACGTGACGTAGGAACTTTAAGCACAAGAATATTTAACATAGGCTACAGAGAAACAGCAACATGGAGAAGAGAATGTTAATTGCACAAAATACGTCAAATAACTTATTAATTATTTACACGAACTTGTAATCATTCTATGATCATTTAGTTGAAACTTGTTAAGTATAATTTGAAACAAATTAATTTAACTTTATATCGCCAATTTTTAATTAAATTTATCACATACACGTATCCAATCTATGACATAAATTGGTAAATGCTATGCGCTATAACCTTTTTCACGTGCATTGAAAATAATCGTCCCGCAGAAGACAAAGTTTACCCACAGTGAAATGACGAAAGTTCTTTTCAAAGTGGTGAAGTTCTATTCATCAAGAAGTTGTGAGGCTTGGCAGGCAATTGCAGAACAACAAAAATAAATGGATTTACCTTCAAGTAAAACTTAAATTTGATTTATTCGAATTTCCCAAATTTAATTTATGAAGCATTACTATTTACGGTAACATTAACATCTGTATTTACTGCCCACATATTTTTAATGATTAAAAAAAATGTAAGCACTTTTTGTTGAACCTTTTTCGTTATTCCCACATAAAACAATTTGTACAGATAAAATATTACATTATTTGTACCAGTATGGTAACGTAGACGATATTCAATGTTGTTTTATGCATACGACTATTATTTCTAATTATAAATAATATGAAGAGACACTCATTGTTAACCACATCGTACTTTATGTGCCAAATAAAACAAGAAAATTACATTTTAAATAAATGTAAATATTTGAGGTATAAATAATTCAGTAATAAATTGCATCATATATGTTTTAATTTATCAACGTTAGTAGATATATCTCAGCAAAATGGTAATTAACTCGATGGAAGATCGAAAATACATACAAAGTGTATGCAAGAAATACGTAACTTAACTTGATGCATGGTTAAATAATAATGCAAAAAACAAAAAGCTTTTACTACCGAAACGAAGCGTGTCAATAATATATTGAAAAATCTTACCTAATTCCTATCATAATTCTTGTGCTATTCAACATCCTTAATTGCTTCCATTAAGGAGCTCTATCGATTCCTAATTAGTAATCGATGAGTTAGCTATACCCATCTACGTTAAATGCGCTTTAATTATTTAACCTAGTAGAATCTCGACACATGCAATTAAAATATTCGAAAATTTACATTCACGTTCTTGCCTATCGATTTATATTCTTTTGAATGTCAATCTGAGATTTCCCAGTGCGATTAAATTGCATCCTGAAGATTGAAGTCACCGGATCCTCCTATCGTTTTGATGTTTTACGATAAGCTACTGTTTTATGGCCGAAAGTCTGCTCGTAAAATTTTCTGCTGAGTACTTCATCTCTTCAATAACAGCTAGCATCTAGGAAATCTTTCGAGACGTGAAACTTTTTGTAAAAACAATGGGGAAATATAGACAATGTAAGTATATAGAACTTGAAATTGATATTTATTGTATAAACCGTTAAACACTTATCTATGACAACAACTGATGAAAATAGCACACAGAATGTTTTACAACCGTTAACCTTGAATTTACTTGTAAAATTAATTTCATATTAACTTATTAACTTATTAAAACTACTAATTTATTAATTGCATTTCGTATTTTTATATTACGATCCTCGAGAGACTACATTCTATAATTTGTATATAGTTTTTTACATTTATATATGAAAATAAATTACAATAATTCTGAATAATTGAGTATAATAATACAAAATTTATTCTGTGCAATTTATTTATCAGAATAGACTACATTAAAAAACTAATATAAAACCTGGGATAAGAAATGATTTAAAGTTACTGCATCTTATAAAAAGTACTATGAACAACAACAAAATTCGAGTAACATGATTAATCTATCTTCAATATAATTTCAAACGCTATTATGTTTGAAGCAGTCGAATCAATTGAATTTTCACAATTAGATCTGAAAAGGTCATCCATTTAATTGAAGCAGCTTCAATCGATTGATACTTGCAGATTAACCGATTTGCGAACTAGAAACAATCCTGAATTGTTACAGCGTACATTATGGTACGAGGGAAACTTCATTTCCTACCGGAGAAAACAAGAGACGTAAACTGTTCCTGTTGAAGTGGCAGTAGAACTTACAATCTCCATCCGCGATTTATTCCCGTTTCAATACCTTCCGTTCTACTCCCCCTTTTTACGTATTCCAGATTTTCCGGGGAATAGCTGAGATGAAAAATAACTATCTAAAATGCCAACAGTGATGAATCAAAATACTTTTGTATATTATTCTGCAAGGAATCATTTTCTGTTCGATACAGTTCAATATAGTATATCGTTGTTTAAATAATTAACGTACGAGAAATATTAAATATTAAAATTGAGTTGTGTTGAAAACGGATTTTTGTATAACGGTATTATATATAACACTTTTTTCATTTATTTTAATGTGAAAAAGGCCCCTTTTCTGTAGTTGTATCATGACAAAAAAATAATTAAATATAATTAATGGTAGAAGTTCACATATTATGGAAATTATCAGAAACCGGAAGCTGTTTATATGCACATAGTCATTTTATTTCATCTTTATTTCGTTAGAATGATAACCGATATGTAAAATGGTAATTCAAAAGTAGTTCAAAATTAATAAATGGATAAAGAGTTTATGTCCAGCGAAGACATACAAGATTTCATAATATCATTACTACATATGCGCAGTATTCCTTATCCTGTTACAGATCTCACTCTCGCAAACTTCATAGACGCAATTATAAGCTCATGTGTTCATTAGAATTCAATCAACACTAATGAGTTCCACAACAAGTATATTTTTATCATTAATTACGTTCCATTATTCTTTATTCTTGTACTAGTTACATTAATTTTCAATAGTCTTTATGAATAATTTTCCATAGAATTATGTGAATGATTATTTTATTAATAAATCGTTATCCGAAAGTAATAAAAATTGCAAATAAATAAATTGCAACCACGATCAAACTCTTATATCTTGACTATTTTTTAACCTAATCACGCTTTCATTTTCTTAGCAACATTTTGTTTGTTTAATTTTGTTCATTTAATCGCGTTCTCAATTTGCCAAGAATACTTCGAAATTTTTGAATACTATAAAAAAAATTACTGTTGACGTATCAACTGCTTCTCCCTTCTCAATAATATTTCAAATTTGTGGTAGGAGTTAATCACATTTTCAAGAACTCCACATCCCTCTACACCCACGTTTACTTTATAGTATAATACTCGATAACCAAAATGTAAGATTTAACTGGAACTCAAGAAAATTAAAATTTCTTTATTTTTGACAACATCTCCCTCGCCAGGCTGACACGACGTTGTATACCAAGGTGTTAAGAAAACTATTTCGACTGTATGGGAGTTTCGATGACTTTGTTCAGCGGCGAACGCGTTAACCAGCGCGCCAGCGAAGGACACGCGACGTGTCACGAGATTACACGGCTAAGAACTCATTATTCCCGATGTGCGCGCATGTATCAAGCGACGGGGGCAGACAACGAATCAACAGGAGGAAAGCGTGCCAGCGCGTTCTCCCGCGATTTATTATTTTTCATCTAGTTTTCCAACCGCTTCTTTCGCTTTTACCCAGTTTACGACAGCCGTGACAAGGAAGCTGGTCACGCAGGAGGCGCGCTGGCCCTCTCTGTCTGGCGTGGGAGTAGGAATAGGACGAGTAGGTGGAGGGAATAGGAGAAGTTGGACGAGCTTGCGCGAAGCTTTCCTGCGTGGCGAGGGAGCCGGGAGGTTGAGGCTGAACCCGCTAGTCGGCGCTGGGCCACGCCACGCGAAGCGCCTTGCGTTCTTGGACGAGAGGAGCTGCCAGCGCGGCAACCTCTCGATGCCTCGACGGCGGGCTAATGAAACCTCGAGAGCACCGCGTTCCCGTGTCAAACTGCCTACGAGCGAACCGCGACGCGCCGGCGGCGAACCATCCGAAAGATGCGGTACCTCAAGAGGAAATGCCGTTGCCTCCACTTGAACGAGATCCATGAATCGTGATCCGGGGGATTCGCCTGGAACAAGCACGAGGAAGTTCGGGGAACGTGTCCAAGCTCCGGCAGCCCGACCAGCCGCGCTCCGTTGCTTTCGAATCGAGTTTGACATGTAAACGGCCTGCTCCCCTCTTTTTCTTTTGTTCGTTTTGTTCGAGGAAAAGAAGTAAAACGCTGCCGTAGTCGGACGCGGTGCGTCGTTGTCGAAGCACGTCGGCGTCGATCGATCGCCGCGCCGTCGAAATCCTAAATTATGATCGACGAGCTTTCACGGCGGGACCAAAACAGCTGGAGAACGCGTTCTCGGATTCGGTGAAGATTCAACGTATCCGTTAGTCTCCGAGCGGCGGATCGAGGAACAGCCCCGAGACGGGGACCAAACCGTGGCTGATCAGCCGAACGGAGATTCGCCCGGTAGATCGAGAACGACGCGGCTAGCAGAAGGATACATATCAAGATGTAACGATCGACTATCAAATGTCCAAGGAGATTATTCTAAAGAAACGTTGTCTTTGAGTCGTCCGTGTTCCCCGAATACTTCACGATCCTCCACTCGGTTGTTTTCAGTAATCCGTGGCCTTGCAACGGGAGCATGTGGCAGAAGAGTTCGTTTTTATTTTCCCCGTGCCCTGTAACACGCGTTTTTTCCTAAGAGCGGCTCCGGGGCTCGTCCTAACCCCGTTACGATCACTCCCTCAGGCGTGCTAACGAAAAAAAGGAGATTTCATTAAGAGAAAGGGACAACAAGGACACAGGAGAAGGATTTCGGTCGAGGACAGGATTCTTCCCCGTGTTTCTACCATCTTAGCAAACAGAAGAACATCGAGCGGGGTTGGACGAAGAGACGTCCTTCGGATGGGACGAGAAGATTTCTTAGATACGGCGAGGATAATCGCCGCGTACTTCCTAATTATGATATATTATCCAGCACGCTGGTTGGCGGGTCCAAAATCGTAGAGTATTTTTAATACGTGCGCACCGTGTAAGAAAACCACGCGTGTACGTCGCGCGTCAAGGTGGTTCGGTAACGTTAAGAGTAGAGTTTTAATCGACGTTCTATCGTTTAACGAGCAAGAGGAAAGGAGGAGGATAAACGTGGTCCAACTAATAGTGACTTAGATTATTGTCTATATTTACGTGAGGGACTGTGTGCGTACCTTGTGTAGAGTGTGCTTGTCGGTATATCGAACGTCGCGGGTCGCGTTATTTTTTACGATTCTCCGTCGCCGAAGTTCCACGTATGAAAGTCCCGTAGCCAATTGGTTGGTGTAAAGTGTCCGTTCCGCGGGGCGAGTGCAATTCGTACACCGTCGTGAGTCCGTCGCGTGCAACGCCGTACGGTTCGCAATATTCTTCAAACGGAATTGTGGGCGAGCGAAATATTCATCGGAAGATTCGGTGAACAGAACGTTCGAACGCGAGAAATAGGTTAAATACGTTAGACGCGGGAATCGTGTTTACGTCTGTCGGGCGAGGAAGGCGAGGTCGACGAACAAATTCGGCATGTGTCATCGAGCAAGACGCTAGCTATGACGACTTCGAGCAGATACAGCAGCTACAACTGTCTTACCAGCTGGGACAGCTACGACAGGATACCAAGGTAGTAGAGCGATAAATTATATGGGGTAGGATTTTCCATTATGGGATTACTTCGTTTTAAGTAGCACACGCTTTTAAGCAAGATCCATGATTCACGCTGGAAGTATCGCACCCTCGTTAGGCGCGATGCTTTCTCGGGTATATCGGTGAATTATTGAGTCGAATTCGGCGCGAGGTCTGTTCGATCGACGCGAAACGGAATTTTATTCTGCTTGTTGTTCATACACTTGCAGTGATTCGGCTATAGGCTTAGCAGGGCGAGAGTTATTATGGAATAACGTTAAAGGGAATTTTTTGTTTGAAATGTAAAATGTTTCACTTTTTAATTAACTCTCCCTTTTTGTATGAAGCGTTGCACATCTTGAAATTTTTATTCTATATTCGTTCGTTAGGAAATATTACGATTCGTTTACTAATAATTATCGATTAATTTTTTATACTTTTCTGTCAATTACGAAACATTTACCGGGTACTATATGGATATATGTAATTTATGCGTGAGAAATTGCGTTACTTAGCAACACTTTTTTTTTAATGTGAACATTATTGACCTCTTCATACTCTCATAATATTGTATAATACTTTCATAGACAGATTCAGATAATCTTTTATTCTTTTTTAAATAAGCAGAATAATCTGTAATACAGAAATGTATACTTATACGGTTATATTCCGAGTATGTGCCCTTAAAACATGTGGTACTTCTGTAATATCATGTTTGTGCCTTCGAGGATTGCATTTGTATACATTTTAAAGCGATTTAAAGGTTACCATATCTCTCAGTTGCTCAGTTTTTATGATCATACGCGGATTTAATGCATCGTTTAAGCCGCGTTACAAAAAAGACACTGGCAGTCAAATTATGAAACGATCTGTTTTGTCGCTGGAAAATCATAAAAGTATACCTAGAATGCGTGTCCATATTTTTTTCAGTTCAATGTACACCGAATGGATTGTTCTTATTGGTTGATTTATACGTTGCTGTATGGAGAACTACATTTGAACGAATATACTGCTGCAGCAGGGAGATATCAGTTAAAGTGGTTTCATGGAAATGCTATGTACAAGACAAAACAAGCAAATAATATAAAATAATTAGAACTGACGTCTCTGCAAGCTAAAATGAAATCTTTATTTAATTAAGCTGTAAAATATCATATTGTTTGCGTATACCATTTTCTGTTCTCTAAATAATATAAGTTTCATTCACTGGTGTTTTTCTTATTCCAATTACTACAGTTTTGTTTGTTATTACAATACATTATTCGAATATTGTAGTATCGTTATTTTCTAGTTTCAAGAATGGAAATAATTTACATTTAGTAAGATTTGTGAGTCAGTAGAAAAGATTGCGATTGATAGTACCATCGACAGTTAATTAACCGTGCAGAAAGTAATCTTTCTCATTGCTACTTGTTTTTCCATATATCCCGGAAAATTGAATTTGAAAATTCAATGGATACACTACTGAATACAATTCCATCACAGCAAAATATCATTACTTATTGTTTCTGTTTGTATTTGGTCCAGTTTAGACGTGCGAGTTCTGTTGCGCGTTTCTACAGTACTGTAATATGAGGAAATAATCAGATGAGGGGACGTACAAGTATCTACGAACGGCAACACCGCGCAAAATCACGGCGCGGCAGGAGAAAACTAACTGGGAACGAATTTTGTCGTACAGTCTTTCAATACTTCTTTGAATTATATAAAACCAAAATGTCAAATCAATATAACAATCAAATGAATGGATGTCTAGAAGAAAGTTCTGTATTACAAATTTTCCAAAAGTTCATTTTTCTGAAGAATGAACAGAATGTGATGTAAAGAAAGTTTGTACAAAATTTTACTTCTTAATTATTACTCTAGGTGCCTGAAATTTAGCATAAAAGAAAGGCGAACGTTTCCCCTCGGAAACAGACTAAATTTTGTATGAAAAATTTTTCGAAATGATGAATAATTTTAAAGATAAAAGTATTTATCGGTTAAAACGAAACAGCCTGCATATTATTGATCTAAATTCATTCAATATATTTTCTAAAAAGTCGTTCAAATCTTAAATTGCATCAGCAAGATAGTGCACCTGCACTTTTTCCACGAATGCTTAAACAATTTCTAAAACGTATGATGATCTGAAGGAAACCAATCCTTCACGAGATTTGCATCACTTTGATTACCGCTTTGAATACAAAATACTAATCAGTGCTTTACTTGACCGAACTGCTATTATATATAACAATTACACTTCACTCTTAGATTAGAATAAAGAAATAATCTTAAAACGACAGAGGGCATTATCGAAAGAACTGTGGCAGAAGTTCCGAAGAACAATTATAAATTTTTAATTACCAAAGTTGCGAAATGGGTCAGCCTGCCTAAGAAAGAAAACAATAAAGGGAATTGGTTCGAAAAAACGAATCTAACCATTTAGAAACAGTTGATTACTTTACCGTGTTTCATTACGTTTAATGCAAGTTGAATTTAAAATAACTTCTGCACAGTGCAGCAATTAATCACCGGGTCCCGGTCAAAACCTTACGTTCTACCTGAGCCTCGAGAATAAAATTCTTTCCGGTCGGTTGTCGTAAGAATAAAACTCGAACGCTTAGAAAAAACGTTCTGCAGTTCTTTTTCTTCTTTTTCCCCATTCGGCGGTGTCGAGATTCCGATGGTTTTAATTACGAGGAACCGCTCATTCATGTTTTATGTACGCGAAACTTGCCTTTACGGGCGCGGACAGTCGTATTTCCATTACAGATTTCAATATTGCGATCGCTTGATCGACGGCGACGAATTCAATTACCAATGATCCGGTTTTTATTGACAAGTCTCCCTTTCGTTTCCAATCGTGTTTTCCTCGCATTCAATTTAACAGTTCGCGTTAGACCCCTTCGAATTCCAGGCAAAATTTCCGTCGGATCTATTGATCAGGTGATTGAAATCGGTCATTTTTGACATGCACGCCTATTGAACTCTTGGTAATCTGATCCCGAGTACTTTAGATTATATGACGGGCGGAAACTCACGCCATTTTTTCGAATCCTCGTATCTGATAAAGCATGTCATAAAGTGTATACCATTACGTCTCGTTTTTATTATTTCAGATCCCTATGAAATCTCATGGAAATGACTGCTGTCCTGTGGGACTCCGATCTAGTATCTCTTTCAGCTGATTTAATATTTCCCCGAGACCTTGACGTCGAATGTTGACTGCTTTACCAACATTCTAGTTGGTCAACAGACTGCCGCACCTCAGATCTTGTAATAATTTTAGATCTTTCTTCTAGAAATAGTACATTAGTCGTTTCTATGAGGGAAACAAATGATAAATAATAGTCCGTTCTAATAACTTCGTTATTATATCAAATAGAGAAATTAGAAATTGAGAAATTGATTTTCATTTACTTTGTATTCCTAATATCAGGAAATTGTTGGTAACCTTGATTATTCGAAAAGAGTGACTTCGAGGGAAAACGTTCGATTTAAGCCATTCTGTCCAGACACGTATTCGTTGTATCGACAACGTGTTTAAAGCGAACGCAACAATTGTTATAAATAAATTTTAATGATATCATAAATTGAAGAAAGTATAACATTTTACATTAAATATATTTTTTAATTAAATTTTCATTGTGTGACTGAACGAAATCGAATAAATGGAATCATGTTTCAGTCAAAAAAACGTGTGGTAAGTTTGTTCTATCCAACAGATACAATAGATTCTGTGGGAAATGAAAGCAGACGAGTGGGTTTATCCTGGTTACACGGGCGGTATAAAATGTGTTTCAGCGACACAGGTAGAACAGAGTCTGTACAAGGCTAAACAAGTGAAATAAGGTCTGTCATTAATCGGGCAAGTAGAATAGAACTTTTTCCGATCGGAAAATTTGGGGTCAGACCTATACCTGGTATTGGAATGCGGAAAAAGTATCACAATTTATTTAAGTTTTTTTAATATAAGAAATAATAATAATAATAATAATAATAATAATAATAATAATAATAATAATAATACTTTTTTTAATATAGGATTAATAAACAATATATCAAAATAAGAGAAAATTTTGAAGTTCGAAAGTAGATCTAATATTATACGAATAAAAGAAAGATGATAGTGGAACAGTCATTTAATTGAGATTAATTGAAGTAGAAAAAAATGTGGGATTGAAAACTAAACTTTATATTGTTGAATGAAATAGATTATACACGCATTTTTTAAAATAATGTTCAATTAGTGATTATTTCGTTATTTCTATTAATATGCTCCTTGAATAGCATTTTCTTGTTGAATATCATTGTCCTCCGTCGTTAATTGTAAAACGAAATTTGATGCTTTCGATCGATAGGATGTGAGGCAGAATATTTAACGAAGCAATTAACAAATCGTTTTACGAAGACACGGGCCATTTTCTTCCCAGCTGACTTACTCCACAGTTTCTGATAGACTTTCGTTTAATTCCCTACTCTCGCTAGAGAGCACGTAAAGCAGGCGACAGTTACTTCCTTATTCTAAACATAAACACACAGTGCAATTTTGTTGTTAGACCAGGAACAAAGCCGAATGGCATTTTCACAAAATGAATACTACCCACGGAATAGTTACCATTTTACTGTTGCTCCTTTTCTTTTGTCAACGATGAGGTCTATTAATGTACCAAGTTTATTAATTAAGATTTGCGGCGGAAACTTGTAACTATTTCCTGAAGATTTAGCACAAAGCTTAATTCCACGATTCTCGCGTCCACTGAGCAACTCGGGGAACAAGTGGTTGGTAAATATTTGATGCGCAATCCTAATTCTGAATTCGTGGATGTGGCCAAAGGTTTCATGTATGTATCGCACACACACTTCCCATAAATATAGAGTGTTCCAAAAATACGAGACTATTGGAAACATATGTATTCTTTAGACAAATGACAATTTATTGCAGTGGCATTACAGTTTCGAGATATTAACCGTTTCAGTGCGCAGGACTGCGATCGTGTTTTGTCGTTAGTGTAA